GATAACACCAGTTATCAGAGTGTTGTTACACACACACACATACATACAGCCGGATAGGTAATTAGATCGATATCGATACACACATACGTACACACATCTCTGTGCAGACTCACACAGATACATATATATATATACATACACACACATATATATATATATATGTACACACATGAGTATACACACGTGCATATCAGCTAAGAATGCGAAAACCAGTACTAGCACGAGTGGCAACCGTCTTAGTAAAGATCGTCATCCTCGAGAGAGTGGTAGACAGTCTTTATGCAAGGAAACTGTCGTACAGAAGTATGGGTGGGTATGTACAAAACATAGCAACCTGATCCATAAGTTGCCATTCGCCTTGAACAGAGTTCTTAATAAGGTGCATAAGACCCACTGAAAGCTTTCCTAAAGCCTAGCTCAGGGCGAGCCGCTCTCTTCCGGAGAGCCGCGGGAACCTCCGATGCGAGCCTGCCTGGCTGCAAGTGCAAGAGGGAAGAGAGCATTGGGTTAAGGATTCAAGATGTGGCGGGTTAAGAGGGTTAGGAACGACGTGCACTCTTGCAGCCATACACTCAGTCTGGGTGCAATTGTCTGTCTCCGAAGTTGGCCTGCAGATCTGAACAATCCATATAAACGAGCTGGCTGATACCAAGTTTCCAGACATCTCGAGACGAAACGCATGCATCGCACGCAGCAAGCGGCGCCTTGCCCAAGCTGGCGGCTGCGCTTCGCATCTGCGGGCAGGTCATCCATTTGCTGTGCTATTCAATACCCTAAGACTGTGGACGGGCTCTTTCTGGAAGATCAAACTACCAGGCTACGGTAGCAGAGGGATCATGACATCGTTCAACTCTTACCTCAGGACGAAACCAAACCGAGACGACTAGCTACCTGCACCACCCATAATTTCTCAGCCACAAAAAGGTCATGCGGTTGATAGAGCACCGTTGCTGTAATCCGCGGCTGCGGTCTCGCATCCCATAGCCGTTCTATGGCGAGACCATTCCCCCCCCTCCCCAAAACGAGGGAACGAACCAAACCAGTCACAGGCACCTGTTGAACAAGTATCTGGAATCCATGGAAAGTCAGAGCGAGCATCCTGACGGCTTATCTCTGCTGCCTTGTGGCCTCTGGGATTTCAACCATGGTCTTGTCATCTTGCACGCCGAACAACATAAACTCATGCTGCCTATGCTTGTAATAATGAGCCGATGCCTTCATCGCTTCAAACGCCTGCGTTCGCTTCTCCTCCTGTGCCTCGGTTCAGGGGGCGCCACAAACCGGGGCTCCTTCTTTGCACGCTACGGTCTGGAGTCTGGGTCCAGCAGGCACTGCTACCGTCAGCACATTTGGTCGGCGATGGACGGTGCGAAGAAGCATGCGTTGCAATCCGAAAGCTCTAGCCAAGTCCGACAACGATGAGATGAGGCTGCTCGCAGGGGCCATGACCCACAGCGCAGAATTTCCAGCACTTTACAGGCCTTCGAATCCGCCAAGTCACAGCTTCTATTGCAGGAGGCAGTGCCGCGCGCCCCGCCTTCACTGCACAGCTGTTGGCAACGCATTTTTTTAACAACGGCGAACATGTCCTTCAAACAGAAAACCCTTGAGACGGAGGTATCTTGGGTTTAGTGTAGGTCTCCCTTACAAAGACCCTGGGTCTATGCGTTTGAAAGGTAGGCCTTCCAGCAAATGCTTCAGCAGGTTCAGGCAGGAGTAGCGGTTTATAGAACCGCGTTGACATGAGAGCCACAAACAGGACCGAGAGTACGATGACAACTTTCCATGCATGGCTTAATCACTGCGACTAACCCATGGTCTGCTGTTATGTCTGCGCCAGGAAGCCTTGGCACGAAGCGTTGGAGGGATCACCTGGCAGATGCGTCGGACATTCCTCTCCTCATGTCGAAGAAGGCTTCGAGCTCCCCTTGTGTCTATGGCATAAAAAAAAGGCTCAGTCTTTTCCTTTGCCTACGCCGCTGCACCATGATTGCAGTTGATCTCTACGTGGTGCTCCCTGATTCTAGCTTCGGGGTGCTTCAGGCCAGCGAGTTTGCAAGACCGTGAGAGGAAGCCGGCAACTCCTTCAAATCAGCCTGGGAAGTATTCCTAACTGAGCCCAGACTTTGCAGGGGGTTCAGCAAGTTTGAACAATAAGTCTCGACTCGGAGCTCCGCTCTCCGAAATCCCACAGAGGCTCAGCCTCTCAGGGGTGACACCAGAGAACCGTCGAAAACCTGAGAAGACCGACCTTCAAATTCTCTATAGGGAATTCGGTGGTTCCGAGCTTCAGATCTGTCTGTCTGATGTCACTGAGAATGCAGCGCAGTCCCAAATCCCCCACTCAGCACGGTGCAGTAAGGAGCCTGGTCCCATGCACCCAGCAGGCGCACTCCCGAGACGGTAGTGGTAGCGTCGCGTCCGTGCCACCCTCGGGAGGTTGGCAGCATTCCCGAATAGTCTGAGTCTTTTCTCTCTAGGTGAAGCAAACCTGGACCTTTACCACAGGCCACTGAGAACTCAGTGGCAGCTCCACGTTGGTGACGAGCCCCAACAGCCGTTCTCACTCGAATGCCAAGTCTTTAGGAAATATCGACCTTGCGATGGCAGCCCGGATCTCAGACGCCCACAATCCAGGCTCCTGCCATACTGGTGCTTGGACGTGATAACAGAATTGACTTTGACGTCACTTCGACATCTCAAGAATCTGTATGTAGTTGATGGTTTGGGCTACATGCTGTCCAAGGACTGCAGGGTTTCGGGATGCGAGCTTCATAGGATTCGTCCAGCGAGACCTGCAAGGCTGTCGGGCAAACGCCTGCTGCTACGGATTCAGTGATGTCTTCGTGCATCCTAAATCCCCCGAGCCTTCATTTCCAGGACCTTGGGACTGGACAATGCTCAGAAGACGCACAAGTATCCTGCATAATGTATTGCTGGGCCACAAATTGACAAAACTATCGGATAAGTCAGCTAAGTATCTCCGACTGTGTTCTGAAGCGCCTGGACACGAAGACCCTTTGAGGTGCTCGGGGCCTGGCAAAACAAGGTAATTATTTATCTACCGGGTAATTAAAGCATCGAATAGGCAGAGGCGCCACGAGCCCCTTCTGAAGATTGAAAGGGGCCCTTTAGTAGGTTCCCTGTTGGGGATATATTAAAAATGATCATTTTTAATCCTTATTGGGTTTTATAATAACAAAAATGCAAAATTGTATCCAACAGGGATCCAGTAGAACCCACAGCTCCTGTCGTAGGCCGTCTTGAACCACTCGAGGTGCATCGCTCCGCAGGCGTCTGGCCTATCCTCCCGGGCCTCGGGGTATGAATTTCACGGGCCAGGGCTATCAAATTCAGTGTACTTAGGTGTTTCAGAATGGGGTTTGGGGTATATTATACTATAAATACAATAAGGGGTATATTATACTATAACTACAATAAGGCTGCTTTTTCGCCAAGGCCAGCAGGAGTGGCTCCGAAAAAAAACTGAGCGTTGCAGGCGAAGAAAAGCAGCAAATACCTTACCGTCTCAGGGTCCTGACGCCATGGTTTTGACCGCAAGACTGCAGAGGAAGGCAGGCAGTTTAACTATCGCTATTGCGAGTACCACTACTATTAGTAGCACTGCTATTGTGATTGTTGGTAGTACGATAATTGATGCAAAAAAGTAGTATTATATCTGACCTTCTTGCGGAGTCCACCGGTGCCTTGGTAAGCAGCTGCTTCAGGGCAGCTATGGCCACCGTCGAAGCCTCCGAGCCAAGCGACGCAGAAGCAAAGAATGAGGTTTAGGTTGGCTTCCCAGCTTGGTATATGATCAGCCGAGGTTGCCCAAGCCTTGGGGCACGTATTCCTTGAGAAAACCGGTCCCTGCCCTCGATTTTAGGTTGACACAAAGCTCAAACCACCGGACATGGCTCACACCATGCAAGCCTTCATCCACACGCTTCGCTGAGTCTTACCTCTTCGATGCCATGCCCGGACTCTGCACTTCCGGCCCAAGGCAGAACATGGCAGCCCCAGAGTAAAAGGAAACTACAGGTGGGGAGTTTAGGCTATATATGGGTTCTAGAAGACTTCTATAAGGTATATAGACCTTCTATAAGGCTCCTATAACGGTAACTACCCACCTGAAAATGTCCTAGGCAGAGGACGTAGGTCCAACCCTGGATCAAGCAGCGCAACGTCGCAAAAGACATGCTCTCAACCGCCCGAAGGCCTGGTAACCGGGGTGGTCCTGCGAGCAGATCGGCCTCGGGGCCAGTGTCCCAGGAAGATATTATATATGTACATATATATATATATACTACCATATATATATATATGTATATATATATATTACCACATATATATATATATAATGTTTGGTGCATGCTTCTGAATGACGGCATGAAGATGTCTTCAGACACCGGACCTCCAAGCTCAGAAACTACCATGAATGCTTTAAGACATCCTCTTAGTTGCACAACTGGCGATCATGTGCTATCATAGTCTACCGTACTTGTCATTGATGGTGGGTAAGACGAAAATTGATCGTGCATTATGTTGGTTTGTATTGGTTGCAAGGGCGAAATCGGTAGGAATAGGGCAGCAGAAGTGGCAGCAGTTGGAGGAGAAGTGAAGTGGTGGCGGTGGTCGCAGTCGGAATCGCAGTTGTCGTAGTGGTAGCAGTACTAGCAGGTGGTCGCAGCAGAGGGCGGAGGAAGAGTAGCAGTAACAGAAGCAGCAGCAGCAGCAGCAGCAGGAGTAGGAGGAGGATTGGTGGCAGCAGTAGCGGTGGCAGCAGTGGTCAGCAGCAGGAGCGGCAGCGGTAGCAGCAGCTGTAGCAGTAGCGGTAGCAGTAGCAGCAGAAGTAGCAACAGAAGTAGCAGCAGTAGCAGCAGTAGCATTAACAGTAGCAGCAGCACGAGCAGACTAGCAAGAGCAGCAATGGTCCTCTTCGCAGCAATGTCGCGTTGCTTCTGGTAGCTACTGATTAACTTGACATTCAGCCGCCTCGCCTGTAGCTGGGCTCTCGATTCTCCTCGCAGATTAAGACCTGTCACAATGATGTCCACGGTCAAACACGTAGCAGCTGTGACACTGGCTCGCCCACTCATTCTCACTCTTTTTCTTTCTGCAGAGCTTATGGTCTGGTTCGCAATAGGCACACCCCGGTTGCGAGGAAAGTTCCACCGATTCCACTGGGTAAAACCAAACAACACTGCCCATCAACGCTCCACCTCACGAGCCATGAACATGAGTTGGTGCATTCCGGGCAACCATGCTAGCTGCACTGTGAGCAAGGCTGACAGGCAAGTGCACAACACTCACAAGAGCCCGCAAGCCCGAATGCTAAATAAAGTCACGAACGAGCCCGTCTCACGACGCCAAACGAAAGCAACGCAATAGCACACAGGAGTCGATACGAAAGCAAAAACACGGATGCGCTGACCGGGGAAAAACGCCCTCTTCTATCCGGCGATGTGACCCCGCACCCGAACACCGACGTAACGATTCTGGTCGCCTTCTTACAATGCCATGGCTTCCTCACGAAAGAGGGAACCTCCAGCTACACATCCGGGAACACACATAAAGCCTTTCGGGTTGTGCATCGTTGTGCACCAGTGTCGGATGCCTTCCTTGACCTCTTCTGGTTGCATGTGTGTATGTATGTATATATATATATAAATACATACATGATATAAGATATAATTAAGAGCCACAGTCACAGTCAGAAACTTCTACTTCTTGAGGACGGCCGGTTTCATGGTGCACCACATTGGGCGGGAATCTAGGGGGAGCTGATGAGACCGCAGGGCTGGCTAGGGAGACGGTGGGACGGGACCAAGAGGCAACGAACACTGCAGGGGAGCCACTGTGCATTGTTAACTTTGGGCTACGACATCGCTTATAACTCAGGGGTGGAGGGCAACTTTCGCCTCGAGTTCCTCGTTAGAAGCTGCGTCCCCCCTTGGTCATGGAGCTGGCAACTCGATGTGCTGATGATTCCTGGCTTTACCTATCACCCACGCCCACACTCACTGACTTTGTGAGCATGACGCACTCTCACTCATGTCAGTCACTCTCTCCGACGATAATGGGGACCCTCACTTTCACATGACATACAAAAACTCACACGCAAAAACAGTACATCATCAGCTGCAGCGGCAAGGCATCACACACCCTACATCCTTCAACCCTAAACCCTACACCCCTAAACCCTATGTTTTATGTCACATCTCTCTGAAGCAGAGCACCTCCAGAGTCGCCTGGTTCCGATCGTGGAACGGAAATTGGCCGAAGATGGCCAGGTACAGCACAACCTGCAAGCGCGTGTCAGCACTGCGCGCTTCGGGTAGATAGATAGATAGATAGATAGATAAGTAAAAACAGATAAAATAGCACAGATAAACAAATCAGATTCTTTAGATTAAGACTACTACTAAAACGACACTGATAACAGGGGTTATTGAAATTACTGTTACTACTACTATTCTGGTTAATTTTATTATTCTTGCTACGACCATTATTATTATTATTACTATTCGTATTATTAATTACTTTAGGGGCCCTCTTCGATTATTTAAGCCCTGTGCTGCTAAAACTAGACTGTGTCGACACATGTTCAGCCTAGGCAGCTGACTCTCAATTCTGCTTCTCGCCTCTCGTGTCTTCAGGTGCATGCAGGGGGCCCCAGTGCAACCCTGCACATCAGACTCACTGTCACGACAACCACAAACGAAACGACAATCCAATGCCTGCTGAAACCATGGGTTTCCTTTCAATTTTTCAACCCCCTGAGCCAATGACTCCAGCAGCCCACACGTCAACGCTGGGGGAGTAGTCGTGGAACCAAACCTCCGGCGCAGACAATGCTAGGTTTCGAGAAACATACCCATGGCAGTGGACGACAGAGTTAGCTGCGACCAAATCTTGCTGGCGGTGGCCAAAACCGGCACATCATCCAAAGCACATTCTGCCATGCGAGCCAAGACGTTTCCCAAGTTCGTGCTCATGACAAATTCCTCCATCCGTGAGTATGCCTGTTCATATTATCCTTGATCCATTTGGTTGCTGGCTACCTTGACAATGCTGCTTGGGTTCGCAGCCCACCACGAATATGGAGATGTCATCTTCCCGAGCTGACACTAAGGTCAGTGACTGCAACACCTGCCGATCTTGAACCAGCCGTTTCAAAAGCAGCAGCAAATGCAAGAAGAGTCAGATGGCTTGTCGAGTGAACACATGATTGTTTCCAGGATGCTGAGCCTGTCTCGAATCATCACATGGTTGCACGTTGGAGGACCATGACTCAGAATTTGCGAGGTGGCCATCGTTTGGGATGATGACAGGATTGTCGCATTAGTGTAGTTTAGCAGAACCGCGCAAAACCCTGTGGGGAAACAGACAAACTCTCGCAGCTTCAATACACGAATCTGTGCGTTCATTCCAGGACCTGCAGACATGCGATGGTCCCCGAATTAGGCTCTCGAGACATCCGCCTCCGGCGCGCAGTAGTAAGCCGTCCCGCAGACGAGGTGCTCCAGTGGAGGCTGGCCGAGTGACAGACCATCCAAACCCGACATGCGCTGACTCACAACTGGCCGTGGAACCTACATTCGAAATAAAACGGAGAACAGAAACGAATTTGAAGCAGCCTGTCCTTATCCCTTCGGGCTCTGAACCTTCACTTTCGCAAGTTCAGGCTGCAGCCTCCTGCTGGCACATCCGGAACCTCAGCGTTGGCTGGCGTTTACAGGGTTCTACTATAATAGTCGTTTGTGTTGTGAGTTCGATCGGGTAATCGCAGGAGAACATTCCAAACCAAGCCATGCCGGCACAGGAGCTCACAAATATGTAGAGCCTAGCATAATTTCACCTAGCGGTGACATCTGCATCAGGGTATCCATTGAGTTCTCGCAAGCCTAGGTTCGAAGGACGTGTTCTTCCACTTGAGATGCCTACAGTTCCGAAACCCACCCCCATCCCATGACTGCTCAAGTTCGGGGAGGAGTGGCGATGACAGTTGAGACTTGAACGCCTTCAGCCTCTCCCGGTCCCCTCGCCCTGGAGCTCCAGTGACCCATTTAATAGCAGTTTATCAACCATCTTCTGTGTAAGCCAGTAACCCGTTGCTTAAGTTACACAGCGGCCTTAATAAGCAGAATACATCAGTTTGGGGGGTTGTTTACCGTGTAGACTTAAGGCAAGGTGTCCGGCAGAATACTATCATTATTGCTAAGAATTCAGGCTTCCATAAACCCTTAAACCCCTAAACCCTCAAACCCTTAAGCCCTTAAACCCTAAACCGGAGCCCTTTTGGTCCGCTCTGAGTCCCGCGCATGAAGCTGGAGGAATGCTCCATGCGCTGCGCGAGGCCGAAGTCGATGAGCTGCCGGTGGGGGTGGGGGGGGGGCGGTTCTTGCGAAAAACCAGTAAGTTAGGGTTTAGTTTAGTGTTTAGGGTTTAGGGTTTAGTTTAGGTTTGTTTTTGAGGGCCTTTTTCCACAGTTAGTTTAGGGTTTAGTGCTTAGGATTTCAGGTTAAGGGAGGGCCCCTCTTGTTTGATAAGGAGCCTAAGATGTGGGGTGGACAGGCCGGAGCAGGGAAGCCATCAGGAAGAAGCCTGTGTGAGTGCACAGGAGAGGCGAGCGACGACATACCCGAAAAAGATCACACACCGGAAATCCGCCTCACACCCGATACCTGCAGCGGGCTGCTCCGACGCACCTTGATGTGCCACCGCCTCGTCTTGGCTGGGTCCTCCAAGAGGAGGATGTTCTCTGCCTTCTGTATGCGTCCACAAGGCTCAAGGCCAGGCAAGGCAAACTCCAATCCATACGACATGCTAAGGATTGTAGGGCCTGTCTCATACCAGAATGGCTGCTTCCGGTTAGCTCTCTTTCTGATTTGGACGTTCCGGAGGGCTCAGAGTTGCAAGCCAACCTTGACGTCCCGGTGGATGATGCGCCGTAGGTGCAGGTGCTGCAAAGCCTGCAACAGTCCCAACAGGAGCGATCTGAGTCCAACATGAGCTTGTAAGTGACGTGGTATGTAGAGTGGGGATCAGTCAACATCAAAGTTGAGGTGGTGGCTTATGCCTGAGCTGCAGAGATGTACTACCGACAAAAACCGTACCCAGCATGATCTGCTGTCATGGGAACCAGAAAGTGACTGTTGCTGGAGGTAAACTCTTCTTCAATCGCCGTCACCTGCCAAAGCGATTCAGCCAGACCCACAAATCGGCAGCCCTGCTTCTCAAGCCGAATCTTCGTCCGAGAATCCTAATCAGAATCTGGAACTCAAACGCACTATTATGCATTATATAGTATTGTTGTATATTACATATCACATATTAGATATTACATATTATATGCTCATCGGAGCCTGAAGGAGTTGGCTTCCCACCAAGGCCACGCAGCCTTCGGTGATGGCCTCGGGAAGCCATCAGAATGCGGTTGGGATGCCGGGGGGGCGCTGGGGTCTTGGGGTTTAGGGGTTTACCCATAGGCCCCCTAATTAGTTCCTTTTTGGGATTACCTTATAGGATTCTACATATAAACCATAAAAAGGAACTACTTAGGGGCCTATGGGTAATGTCTAGGATTTCCGTCGAACCGCTGGGGTTTAGGGATTTGGGTGCCGACTCCTGGCGACAGGATTCGAGACATTGCGCCAGTAGAAGGGCCAAACTCGCATTCGGCATGTTTAGTTCAGCTTCATTTCCCGTGAGAGTCAGCCGCTGTTTGTGTTTGGCTTCCAGAATCCGTGAATGCAAACGGCATAACCTGCAATCCTCAATCCTGTCACCCGTACGAAACATCTTGGGCTCTACTCGGGCCCAACTGTCTTGGTGGTGACCGTAAGTTCCGTCAATACTGCTTGGGCTGGGCTCAAACATCGTTGAATCAACAAAGCCGCCAAGGGTAGGATGTGCGTCAGAATGCTTCAGAATCATACAGAGAAAGATGGAAAAAACATCTTTCTAGAGCGCGCCAAAGAGAGAGGGAGAGGGAGGACCTGATGTGCCGCGAGCACCGAGGCGCCGGCCGTTCGCGGGTTCGCAAGGGCCTGCAGCTGGCCAGAGTGACCATCCAAGGATGGATTACGGCAGGCACATCTGAATCCTGTTCGTGGCCACGGCCTACATGTACAGACCTGGCCCCCTATATTGCCAGGCAGGGACACAAGGATCCTGGTCACATCTCAGCTGGCTTTCAGGCAACCCCTCGGTGTTTCAAATGCTTTCAGCCTGGAAGAGCTGGCCACCAATGATGTAGTCCATTACGAGGAAAAGCCATCGCTCCTGGTTGGTGAATGTGAGACATTCTCTTGGAAAGGACAGCTAGCAGGCAGCATAGACAGTTGACACGGTTTCATCTGCATCTTCGACTTACCAGCCATGTCAGACAGAGGGGCAGAGTGGCTGAAGGAGACACACACTAGACAAACACGTGTGAGCTGGCTGGGCGGCCGTCCTTCTCGAAGACTTCTATCAGCTTGACGATGTGGGGATGCGACACGGACTGGCAAGCAGTCTTCTCATGTGGACACTACGCTAGGGTATATTGTACTTCAGAGCAGCATAAGCTTGTGGTGCGAAAGCGACTCGGCCGAGCTGCACCCTCAAAGCCGGGCGGGCCTGAAGCACACTTGCCTCGGAATCAGATGACATCTTGGGCAGCCGATCACCCAATGTTCTGGACTGTCGTGGATTAGCTTTCGGATCGGGGATGCGAGCCATGATGCTTGAACATTGAATTGAATTAACAAAAGTGTCGGCTCAGTAGGGTGCATGGACTGAGGAGCAAGTTGACACAAGTTGCACCAATGGCTCTGAGGGTGGGCAGAGACCCAGCTGGGGCCAGCACCTCCTTCCGAGCAGACAGCCACGCGCCGGCAACTTCGAAGACCTGTCATCTTGCGCAAACATCGCCATTCCGGGTCTGAGGCTCTTTGTGGACAGGCAGATCGCCGAAGATATGGATGAACATGTGAGTAGCTAGCGAAGGTCGAGTTATGGTTCACACCTCAACACATCGATGAAGCCCAGGCCGTGACTAAATCCAACACAGACAACTGCTCGAACGAGAGCGGCTGTATGTCCGCCATCTGAACTTTGTTTGGCTGCTGATTGCCTCGCTCTTGGTGTCGATGGCCTGCCAACTATCATTCGCAAAGGAGAGCATGGGTGGGCGTGGGCTTATGTACTTCTTGTTTCTGCCTTCAAGTCCCGAAACTTCTTATGGCATATGGAGTTGCCAGCACAGACGGTTACGTGCTTGAGTTTAAGGGGTCAGTCATGCGAGGTATCAGGATTCGGAGTCGTGCTACTGCGCAAGGCACCCAAGGTCTTGGACCCGTTTCCAATCCTTGACAAGAAGGGCTTGAGGCATGCAAATCGCAGGCCTCCTAAGGATTCTAAGCCGAAGGGATCTCACGTGATCAAAACGTAGTAGTAGAGATCAGATCCATACCTCGACCCTCCATCTACCCTCCACTACACCCTAAACTCCCTTAATTTGAGACCCTTTACCCCTATTTGAGGGTACTTGGAGGGCACTGGTATGCTCGAGACCTTCACCGCATACTTGACGGTCGGCTCATGCGGCTTCCAGCACTTCCTGACCTGACGGGGCAAGGGCTTCGCCACCACAACTGGTTGTCCGGCGAGGAATTTAGGGTTCTAGGGTCCCGATAAGCCCTACCCTAAACCCTAAACTGCCCAGAGCGCCGCTGACCATTTGCATGGGCGCTCGAAGCTCCGACCGAGACCCCCGGCCGAGCGTCCCGTCAGAACGGTAAGGGAGGGTAAAGCCTCCGGTATACGAGGACTCCCCTTGACCTTTCTGCCGTTAGGCAGTAAAGATGGATTTTGGCGTCCTCACAGGCATTCTGGGCCGGTCCGAGCGACCCCGCAAGAAAGGGTTTGCCGGCCTGCTGTCCTGGCCTTGCCCTGCCCCTGCCCAGATGCGCCTTGGCAAAGGGCCACCAGCCTCTTCTCGAAAAGTCGTCCTGCTTTGCTCTGTGAGGCGACGTGTTTGTTGGGAACCGTTGCTTCTCGTCGAGCGGCCGGCACAGGACCCACAACCCGACAGTAATCCATCTCAGCTCTGGTTTGCTGTGGAACGCACATTTCCTGCAGAGCTGCGAGGGGAAACAGGGAGCAAGAAAGCCCCTCCTTGAGGGGGGTTGGGGGGTGAACCCTAAACCCTAATTGAGAATAGTTGGGGTGGTTGGGGCGGGACTACATGCTGACGCAAGCGCGCGATTACTGGGTGCGCCCCTGTTCCTAAAGTAAAAGGCGCACCCACCGCGCGCACACTGTCTACACACCCTAAATCCCAAACCCCAAACCCTCAACCCCAAACCCCAAAACCCTCAACCCCTAAACCCTAAATCCCAATCCCAACCAGAGCCTGGCCAAAGGAGCCGCTGCCCAGCAGGTCCCCGATCTCGTAGGCCTCTGGAGGAACTCAGAGCTTGGGTTTGGGGCATTTAGGGTTTAGGGTTGAATAGGGTTGAGGGGGGTTGGGGGTTTAGGGGTTTAGTGTTTAGGGTTTAGGGACTTATGGGGCTTAGGGTTTGGGGGTTTAGGNNGGGTTTAGGGTTTAGGGGGCTTTGGCCTCATCTGAGCTTCGCCTCCCGGCTGGGGAGACGGGGTGGGGAGAATGTCCTAAACCAGCACTTGGAATGACTTGCACCTGATGCTTTATGATTCAAAACCGATGCTTTTGAGGGCCAAAGCCATATACGGCCATTATCGACTTGACCATCGACGGCAGCATGAGTATTTAGTCGTCCCAGTCTCTTCTGCTGATTGTGCTGTTGATGTTTGAGGTTTTTAGATTCTCGCATGTGAAAGAAACCGCATCATTTAAAACACTTATCTGGTTCTAGCAGTCTGGTGGTGGACTCTGCGTCTGAATCTCAAGCCGCTTGGGAGTTGCCCTGCATAGAGCCATAGACTTCCTACAAGCTTGCGAATCCTGAATCCGGCGATGCAACTAATGAAGATCGAAGGTCCGGCGGCCTCGAAGAATCCAGCCTCCCAGAGTGTCAGGCAGAAGTTTCGTTGCGTCTTTGTTGCTTGAAGTGTTCGCCGCTTTGCATGGGGAGTTTGAAGAGAAGCTGCTTGCTCTGCCCCTTTCCCTCCCCCTTCTTCCTTGCCATAGCCAAGCGCCCACTCCTTTTTGCAGCACCGACAAGAAGAGTGGGCAAACACCGTGGGATGTGGCGCCCTGATCTTATGCCTCTCCCTTCCTTTCTTTCGCCAAGCTTGAGGGCGCACCCCCACAGGGGTCTGTCTCTCTCTCTCTCTCTC